ACAAACACTCTCTCTCTCAAACACACACACACACACACACACACACACACACACACACACACACACACACACACACACACACACACACACACACACACACACACACACACACACACACACACTGCCTCAGCTGCTCTGACAGTGTCATAACTCCTGTCTCTGGATAGAAAATGGGGTTGTATGTCAAAGGCTCAGCTGGGTGAGTGTGAGAACGCCCGAGCATTCTTCAGTGTCTTATATGAGCATCTGCCTCTCTGTACAGCAGGCGTTTCCCCACATCGTGTTTCTGTATCATTTCTCAACCTACTGTATAATGTGTGTACTTTAAAGGAATTGTTTGAATTATGTGTATTTGGCTTCTTGCAGAGAATTAGAAGAGGAGATTGATACCACTCTCACGTGTGTACGGTTTATTTGAAGCTACAGCCAGCAGTTGGTTGGCTTTGAATAAAGATTGGAAAACCAAGAAAAAAAAATAGCAAGGTTCGGTCGAAAGGAGACAAAATGAACCTACCAGCACCTTTAAAGCTCACAAATAAACAATTTATATGTTGTTTTTTTATTCAATGGAAGAGGTTAAATATAAAAGACACGTTGTGGTTTAACAGGGAGTTATGTGCCACACTATTTCTCGGCTTACTGAGCTTCAGAGGTGCTGGTCGGTGGATTTTATGATGACATTTTTGTATTGTATTCACATATTAATGCATTCTTACAGGTCTCATCTTCAGGCAAGGAGTGCTAGCCTTTGTTACATCTCTCTATATGTGTCAGCTGATGACACTAAGCTTTTTGGAATATTTTTGATGCATTGATGCAAACGACAACCCAATATCAAATGCAATGTTTCTATCCTATGTTTAACTATACGTTTAAATAGTTCCATGGAGATAGTGTCTGTGCAGCCTAGCTTTTTGCTTCTGAAATTGATTTTCAGGTGAATCTACACGTCTTACAATATGTAAAAGGAATCTAGGGCAGTCCAACTCATGATTGAGCACACATGTGCATCACCTTGTTTCAGTAACTGTTTTGTCCCTCGATACCCTGAAGAAGATTGTCATATTTGTGCTTCATGTGGCTACAAGTGGGCAACTGTTTTGAGGTGTTTTTTTACCCCTTTGACAAGCATGCTGTTTCCCTCCTTTTTCCAATATGTGTGCTAAGTGAACCAGCTGCTGAAGCTTTAGATACAGGTATTGATCTCCTTAGCTTACTCTTTTTAAAACAATTAAACATATTTCTCAATATTTCAAACTAAACCTTTAGATGACAAGCTGTCTTGGAATATTCACATACTATTTTTTAGCATGTGTCTGAATTTTGCATCTGTCTTCTTTGTTCATACAAAGAGATACAGCATCGAGAACAGCCATAAAAATAACAAAAATCCCAGCTGCATGTATCTGATTGTTCCGGATTTACTGAAGTTCCTTTCAATCAATCTGTCCCTCTCGGTCTGATTGCTCATATCAAAGCTGTTATGATGGGGTTGATTCAGGCAGCAGTCTGTGAGCTCTGGGCGACTCACTGAGGCTCACAGACATCAGCAGACAGCAGACGCAACAGCCTTTCTGTAGCCCTGAGCCCCGAGGACCGACTTACATTAATATTAACCATGTTAAGCTGTATTAACATTTGCATACTGTGCATAATGTCCTGAAAATCAAACACAAAATTAAATAAGTATAGGGGTTTATGTGTTTTTTTTAATTAAATCTATTTATCACTGCTTTTTCCTCTGTCAATTGTACGAATGCAGTCTTATTATCTGTTCATGTGTGTGTCTGTGAGTACTGTATTTGCAGCTAAGGGCATCCATGCGTGACCATGAACATGTGTATTGGTGTATGAATGTGTGTCAGTGTGTGCTGTGTATACTAAGCAGTTTATCTCGTCTGCTCTGCATATTTTCCCGTTCCCCAAGTGCAGCGAGGTGAGCCAGGTTCAACACACACTGCAGGAATGATAAGACCCCTTCTGTCCCTGCTTAAGGTAAATAGACTCCCTTGGTACATTTAACTTTCCTCCCTCCCCCCTTACCGCCATATTATGACACACCCCAGACACACTTATTTACCCTCACAGGTTCACCTTCACCAGATCTACCCCCCCTCTTCATGCCCACGTGCCCCGTGTGGCACACCCTGAGGGCATGTCAGAAGTCAGCGCTCTGCAAGCGGTTTAATTAGGCAACCCCGCCTGGCATTGGGGGAAATCGGGGGGGAAGGGAGGAAAAAGCATGGGCACATGAGGTGCTTGGGATGGGGGTCGACTGTAGGAGTTGGAGGAAGAGGGTTATAGTTGGAGATGTGATGTGCACATCTGGACAACAGCTAAACACAGTCATATGTGTGCCATCCAATCACAAGACCCCTGAGGAAGTGTGAAAACATTTTGGTACAATATTCAACCTTAAACAACAGGATGTGTCAGTCCTCCATTATTGATCTATAAAGACTTACTTTAACTGTTAT